CACTGTTCTAAGCTTTTGGAATCCCAAAATGAACAATACAAGTAAAAATCACTGCCTTCCAAAAGCTTACATTCTCAGACACTGCATCTAAAGCACTTAGTACAGTGTCTAGTACTGAGTCAACTCTCAATAAATGTCAGCTGTTAGGATTACTAATACTTGAATAATACAGAGTAAAAGAGGGTATGTGTCAGAACAAAGTCAGCATAGTTAAGATCTAGCAGTGGCACTGCCACTATTTGTCTAGGTGATCTTCATTTGATATCGCTGGGCCTCACTTACTTAAAGTGATCTTAAGGTGACTTATAGTGAGTATATAGTAGATCATAAGAGATGGATATGATAAAGTGTTCAAAAATATCAAATATTTAAATTACTTTATATTTTTATTTTATATTTGCTTATTTTGTCTTTACTTTTACCATTTAAATAATAAAGAAGATGTATTAAATAAAAATGCTTTTTCAGTACATTCAAAGTTTATAGAGATCTCAAATGCTAGGTAATCAGGTATGGTTAAAAATAGAAAACACTCAAAGATCATTGGGAAAAATGTAAATGATCGATATCATACCAAATCTTTTACTTAAAAAAATATGAAGTTCCCCAAACCAAAATAAGACAGAAGCAGCATCTTATTTTATCTTAAAAAGTATACATATGTAAGCCTTATCAGAAATCACTGGACGAGGCAATCTCCTTATAGAACATGTAAGTGAAATGTAGTATTTTGCCTTTCAGGGAAATCTTAGCTTTCCTAGTTTTTCCAATGAGACTTCTATAAAATTGGTCCAATACTTACATATCTTCACGAGATTACACATTTTTCAAGGTTTTATTATTTTCTTTTCCAGTTAAAAATCATAGCATTTCAACTTTATTAAAATAAGCTAAATGTATATTCCCCTACCTTAGTCAAATTTAATGGTATACATGGTTCTTGGTGAGAATGATCTTTGTTTACTTGGCTCAGCCCCATCTCTCCTTTGGAGTTCTCATTCTGTTTAACACTGCACTCTTTGAATACCACAATGAAGTCATGTTCTCTCATTCAAAGCATTGTAACTTTGCTTTTAACTTTTCTTCAACTGAATCTTCTTTTCCCTTCTATACAGTGACATACCCATCCATCAAGTCTTACTCAAAATAACATCCTCTACAAAGGTTTTCTCTGATCATTCCCACCACAGCCCCCATACTGACAGTTCATATCAGAGACTCTTGATATTACTCCCAAGAATTTTATATATAGTGTCACAAAATTTATTATCTCGTTGCTATATTATTATTTTTTGTTAGGTCAATCAAAGCAGGGACCATGATTTTTGTTTTGGTATCCCCCGGCACAGAGTGGGCAACTGTCCGCATTTTTGCAGTACTGGAAATATCATTGTTCTCAATGGATAAGCAAATTCTCACTGAATAATAAAATAAATGTGGTCTGATATACTTTAATTTGTAAAGTTGTTAACCTACTCCATAACAAAAATATCATTGTAGTAGAGCAACCAAACATGAAGAGAATCAGCACAAGATTTAAAATTAGAAAAAGAAATCATATTCTACTTCACCCTTCCATAGATACCAAACAAAAAACAATGGCACAAAATCACTTTTTAGAAATAAACCCAAATAAAAATAAATCTACAGGATTCATCAAGAATAAAGCTATAAATGCCATTATCATTTAAATCTAGTATAATGTTAACCTTCATTCTACTTCAAATCTAGTATAATGTTAACCTTCAATCTACTTCAAAATTAATCAGGTTTAATATTCTTTATAGAGTGGTATTTGACAATCTAATTACATACTATTGTTAAGTAAATGCACACCCATCACAAGGTTTATCAGTGTATTTCAAATAGTTATATAAAGTATAAGTAGGAAAGAAAAGTACACATTCATCTATAGAATAATTCCTAAAAAGTACCATTGAGTAAATCAAATTTCAAAATATCCAGCAATTTTCAAGCTATAAACAGAAATAGTTTAGAAATGTAGAGTATCATGAAAATTCTCTTGGAAGTGGAAATTACAATAGGAGCATTTTCCAAATGTAGGTCATTTCTTAATGCAATTACTTGTTTGCATTTTATAGCTGTCATATTTGTTTTTCTATAATGAAACATTGCTCTGCTCTTTTCATAAGAATCAAAACAACAGAACAAAGCTAAAGAAAGAAAATGTGTTCCTCAAAGTTAAAGATACTATTTTGGGGAGAGACAATTAAAAATATTTTCAAGTATATACTGAGTTCCAGTGACCTCTAATTAATAAACAGGATAAAATTTGTAAGTTTATATAACATTTAAAACAAAATAAAATTTTTGCTTGGATTTACTGGATATAGACTTTGTAATTCACAGACATGCATTTATTTTAGTAATACCTGGGGTGTCAAAAATGGGACTTACTACCTTTGCTCATTACCTAAAAAATGAAAGAAACTTTCAATCATGTTGTATATTTTTTTTATTTTTGAAATACCTCATTAGAAATTTTTCCAATGAGAGAAAAAACTTTAATTGTAGTAAATTAAAGTTTACTTTAATTTCTTTGATATTTGATATCAAAAGTTTGATATTTCTTAGGAGAAAAAACATAATGTATTTTGAAAATATCTTTTAACAATAAATCAAGTAAAATTCTGTTGCAATTACTAATGCTCCCACAGAAACAATACCATAGGCTGGCACATGGGAACAGGACTCTACAGTACAATTCACTACTATAAAAATTCAACACAACGAATGATTTATTTTCTCAATACAATTCCATGTATCGGGGAGGTACTAAAATGAAGAGAAAAAAACCATGAATTCATCGAAAACAGCATTTATGTAACTTTGAAGAGGAACATGGGAGCACTGGTTGGAAGTACCATAAAATTCATCTAGCACTCATGATTAGCAAGGGAAATAAGACAGCAGATAATTTAGATGGATTCAGTAGACGTGATTAAAGAAAAATGTTATATTGTTGCCATATTACAGCTAGTGAAAATATTAAATATTATAAAAAGTGAGAAAAGTATTTATGAGATTAAAGACAAAAAGAAGATATTCTGTGCCAAGGATGACAAACTTGGGGCTTGTGTGTTAATGGCATCAGTAAGTACCCTGGCAGACTGACTAACTGATCACTGGACTCTTTCTTCATGGCTGATTCTGGAATCCTCCCTGATACATACCACAGAGAGCTAGTTCCCATCACTAAAAGTTGGCACTAATGCTGAAACCTATTTGTCAAACCTGCTCTCAGTGACACTGTTCAAGATGTTCAATTGGGAAACCTTCCCAGCAGGCAAATGGTACAGGACAACGCACAACCTGCTAGGATATGTGATCAAGCAAGGGCTGACTTTCAAAAATTTGTGAACACATGAAAATCGTTAAAAAGCAAAATGGGAAGGTAACATTATAGCAGAAAATGTTATGATTTGGAGAGGGGAATACATTTTTAAAAGCTAACTGCCATCCACATTCTAGAATAGTTTCAATTCTGATGGAACAGGCACTTAGACACAGTCATCAATTTGCAAGGAAAGCAATCACTAGAAAAATAGCTAGAAATTGAAACAATGGTTCCCTCAACTGCAGTGCACTAGAAATTAAAGAATATTAGTGGTAACTGAAAAATTAATAAAAATTTCAATAATATGTATTTATTATGTTAAAACCACAGATAGTCAAATGGATGGAAAAAAATTTGAGACAAAGTAATCACAGTAGAGAATTTGATACCCAAAGCACCTCAAAACCTCAGCAACCAAAATTATACATTTTCTCTAAATAACAGGCAAAACCATTTGTGGTTACTTTTAGTCCAGTGTTTACTACTAATGATATAATGATAATGCAATTCTTGTCCAAAAATCAAATTCTTAGTCTTAAAAAAAAACAACAAAACCTCTTATCATGTGATTTAATTAATCTATATTCATAGAAAGTAAAACAGAAATACAATAATGGTTTAGTTTTAATTGTCTTAATTTCCAGAAAAATAGTATCTCTGCTGAAATATATTTTAAAATATATATAATTATTGATCCATATTTAAAACATAGGTCATAATTTTAGTTCCAGAATAACTGAATACTAAGCAAAACCATTGGCACTAAATAAATGTATAGTTAAGATGCAGGTAACTTTGTTTTGCTGTAATTATATGTTAAACAATCTCACTACAATCATAAGTCAAAGGCTACATAACGCGACACCTACAAGAAAAGTATATACCTCAGTAACGAAACCAGCTTGGATAAAAATTCACAACAGCTCAGTCTAACAATGCACCCTGGTCTACATTAAATAGCATTATGTACTGTTTCTGGTGAATAAAAACTTCTTCAGTTCTTCACTTCATTTTGCATATATACACTTATCCATATTTAAAATCTGACATGAATTCTGCAATGGATCTTAAGTTGTAATGACATTAGCAGTAAAGAATACTTTCAGCTACAAGCAACTATAACCACAATCTGTCAAGCATTAAGACCCGGTCACTATGTATAATCAAAGATTGCTTTCTAAAATATCCTTTGAAATAACTAGTATGCTAAAATCTTTTACCCTTGGCCAAATTGGCCGTCATGAATTGCTATTTTGCTATTGTGCTATGACTACACAGTTTCTTTGGAAAATGAGAAAAGGTAACTTATCAGACAATCTTGTTTGATTATAAGGCTAAAGTTTCTTATATTACTAAATTTTCGTACATTCCATGTCAGTGTTATTGATGATTATAATAAAATAAATTCTAATTAGTTGGCAAGTCAATGTCTCAGTAGGTACTTACCTCAAGTAAGACAGAAAGCAAGTGTTTCTGTAAACTATATGAACAGCTAGCAAAGAATGCTTTTACACAAGATACAAGACCAACAAGAAAATGTATGCTTTGTTAAAGAAATGTACTGCTGTACTGGAGCAAATATATCAGTTTTCTAGCATTATATTAATAAAACTAGAAAATGATTTAAAAATGTTCTCCTTACCTGTGTATACAGTTTTTACTCTCGAGATATAACATGCCAGCAGCAGCATCTAATGAAAATTTCACTAACTGTTTGAGTTTTAGCTCATCCTTCTTCTTTCTCAGAAAGGAGAGGAAATCACCTCCTAGAGGAATTGACAGACGAACAGTGAGATAAAATCATGAGGAAAGTCACATTTATTGACTATTAAGGATGTCTGACAGAACAAAAAGCATAATACATTTGGCAGTGCTTTTTGTCCAACCTGCTTGAGGTGAGGATAAAAGAAAACATGAAAAGAATATCTTACCGTGTTTCTCCAAAAATAAGACCTACCCATAAAATTAGTCCTAGCAGGATTTCTAAGCACTTGCAGAATATAAACCCTACCTGAAAATAAGACCTAGTGATGGGCGTGGCTACGCAGCATGTCTGCACAACCCATGCATTTCATCGTGGAGCAGTAAAGGAGAGGAGCAGCCCTTCCCATCTGCCCCATGAGAGCTCTATTGCTCAACATGAGAGATTGGGGCCAATGGCTCTAAAGGAAATAAGAGTCACAAGAAATTCAGGATGGAATTCACGGTTTGGAGAGTTATGATGATGTTCCAGAAGAAGACGACTTAACTATATTTGAATAAATGTAGATTGCTGTGCTGTACTTAAAAAAAATAACACACCCCCTGAAAATAAGCCCTAGGGGGTCTTCTTGAGGAAAAATATATATAAGACCCAGTCTTATTTTCGGGGAAACAGGGTATTAGAAAGCAGACACTATAAACTTTTCTAGATACAGTTTAAATACCTTAAGTGCTTCACACTGTATTGTTACACAAAGCATAATAATATTCAAAGTCATATTTTTTCCTTTGTCACTATTTTTTCACCAATTTGCTTTACTAAAATTTTCTAATGAATTTGATTTTTGCAACTATCAAATAAAAGACTATCATTATGAGTTAAAAAAAGAAAATGACATTGGATTAGTTACTAGTTCAGTGATTGCTTAGAACGCTAAGACTATTAACATCATCACTGATTGTAGTGTCAGAGAGAAAAATAAAAAAGCTAAGATTTTGAAGAGATTTTGTTACTGACTCAGATTGCACTTTTGTATATTAAACGAATCCCAGTAATGTCTTAGAAAAACTTCTTTATATATCATGGTCCAAGAAATATGTAACATGAGTCACATAGTAAGTTTAAATTTACTGGCAGTCATATTTTGAAAATTTAAAAAAAAAAGGTGAAAAGGTGAAACTGATTTTAATAATATATTATCTTGAACTCAATATATCTAAAATATTATATCAACACGTATAAATATAAAAATTATAGTTGATATATTTTCCATCATACTCAGTCTTTAAAATATGATATTTATTTTACATTTATGGCACATCTCAATTTAGATGCAAATTTTCATCTGAAATATTTGATCTCTATTTGGATTTTTAAAAATTTACAGTTGAAAAAGTAAATCCACATACCCTCATTGTTCCAAACATGCTTAAAATTTTCTAATAACTGAATCAAGTATCAAATTTATAATTTAAATCAATTAAAATTAAGTGAAATTTAAAATTCAGTTTTTTAGAAGTACTAGACACATGTGAAAATTCAAGAGCCCCTATGGCCAGTGACTAACCATATTGAATAGTGTCACCTTAAACTTTGCATTCACTCTTTTTTTTTTTTTTTTTTGAGTCTCACTTTGTTGCCTGGGCTAGAGTGCTATGGCATCAGCCTCATTCACAGCAACCTCAAACTCCTGGGCTCAAGCAATCGTTCTGCCTCAGCCTCCTGAGTAGCTGGGACTACAGGTATGCGCCACCATGCCTGGCTAATTTTTTCTATATATTTTTAGCTGTCCAATTAACTTCTTTCCATTTTTGTAGAACATGCAAAAATATTTGCTCTTGCTCAGGCGGGTCTCGAACTCCTGAGCTCAAAGGATCCGCCTGCCTTGGCCTCCCAGAGTGCTAGGATTACAGGCGTGAGCCATGGCGCCAGGCCTGCATTCACTCTTAATGCAGCATTAAAAGCTTATTTTCTTTTTAAAAGTTAGTTATAGTTTATTGTACTATTAAAAAAAAAGTTAAAGTATACTAGAATACATGTTCTCTAAAAACAATCAATCCCTCAAAAAAAAAAAAAAAAACCAATCAATCCCATTTTCTGTATTAGCCCCCCAGTTATTAAGCCAGATTTTTGCAAGAGGAATTAGCATTTTAATTGCCATTTCCTGAACTTTCTTTTACACTCTGCATCAGGGATCTAGGTTTCCTTGAATCGAAAAGCTCTAGAGGTGAAGACTTAATATCTTTTTCTTTAATGAGAGTACCTATAAAATAAACACCTGCCTAACTCTCCTTAAAATATTCTCTTTTTCTAACCTCTTATTCACAAACCAAAATGTTATACAAATTTAGGAGGGCCATTTGCAAAATCAAATAAGCTATATTCCTTAAAAATAAACTTAAAGGTGTCAGATAATTTTTATTTCCTCTTGTATATTAGATTACCAGAATGATTACTGAAATAGATTCTATAAAGCTTAACTTAAAAACCTGAACAAGACACATAATTTCAATAGTAAACAACAAAATTACCTACTAATTTCTCAACTTTAACAGGTATCAAAATGCCTATAAAATAGACTTGAAATCAATATTTAGTTCAAGATATTACTTGGACCAATATTCACATACTAATTCTTTTGCTACATATATGTTGACCTATTTTAGAAAATGTATACCTTTCCAGTATTATAACCACATAGCATTCTGTTTAAAGGAGTAACTTTCAAATGAAAGGATCTTTTATTTGATTTAAAAGTAGCATGTGACATAATCCCAGTGTTCTTCTGTGGAATCCTGATATTATTTCTTTCCAGAGTTAGCTCATGTTCAGCACTTTTTCATCTGATTCCTGCCCTTTTTAAATTTACTTATTCATATAATCCTCTAGATTAATATTTTTTAATAAAACTGTTATTTTTTAATAACAAATTATTAAATATTATCATTTAATCTAATATATAATGTATTAATAAAGAAAAGAAAACACTTAAATAGCATTAAAAATTGGATGGGAAGTGATGTCAAGTCAATAAAGGCAAAGTATCAGGGAGGCAAAGCAAGACATAGCCATTTCCAAAAACTGTGACACATCCCAACATACAGAAGGGATTTATGATTGTCTTGTAGTTAATCCAACAATATTTCTGTCTAAGAACAATTTCTTACTTAAAATCATCAAATCTTTTATTTCCTGTTGGGACTCAAAATATCACTAACTCTAGGAAAGTAAATTTTAAATGTATTTCCAATTTTTTTTTTATTTTGGCATATTATGGGGGTACAGATTTTAAGGTTTCAATAAATGCCCTCCCCCCCAAGTCTGAGTTTCCAGCATGACCATCCCCCAGATGGTGCACATCTCACTCCTTATGTATATATATACCGCCTCCTCCCCCTCCCACCTGCCCAATACCCTATTGCTGTAGTACCTATGTGTCCACTTAGGTGCTACTCAGTTAATACCAGCTTGCTGGAGAATATATCTGGTGCTTGTTTTTCCATTCTTGGGATACTTCACTTAGTAGTATGGGTTCCAGCTCTAACCAGGAAAATATAAGATGTGCTATATCACCGTTGTTTCTTAGAGCTGAATAGTACTCCATGGTATACATATACCACATTTTATTAATCCATTCTTGGATTGATGGGCACTTGGTCTGTTTCCACAGCCTTGCAATTATAAATTGTGCTGCTATAAACATTCAAGTGCAGGTGTCTTTTTTGTAGAGTGTCATTGGATCATTTGGGTAGATGCCCAGCAATGGCATTGCTGGATCAAATGGTAGATTCACTTGTATCGCTTTAAGGTATCTCCATATTGCTTTCCACAGAGGTTGAATTAGTTTGCAATCCCACCAGCAGTGTAGGAGTGTTCCTCTCTCTCCGCATCCACGCCAGCATTTATTGTTTGGAGACTTTTTTGATAAAGGCCGTTCTCACTGGAGTTAAGTGATATCTCATTGTGGTTTGATTTGCATTTCCCTGATGATTAGAGATGTTGAGCATTTTTTCATATGTTTGTTGGCCATTCTTCTGTCTTCTTTAGAAAAGTTTCTGTTCAAGTCCTTTGCCCACTTTTTAATAGGGTGATTTGATTTTTTCTTGCTGATTTTTGTGAGTTCTAAGTATATTCTAGTTATCAGCCCTTTATTGGATCCGTAGGATGCAAAAATTTTCTCCCATTCTGTAGGTTGTCTGTTTACTTTCATGACTATTTCTTTGGCTGTGCAGAAGCTTTGTAGTTTCATGTATGAAACTATTAGAATTCTAGAGGAAAATGTTGGAAACACTCTCCTAGACATTGGCCTAGGCAAAGAGTTTATGAAGAAGTCCCCAAAGGCAATCAAAGCAGCAACAAAAATAAATAAATGGGACATGATGTATTTCCAATTTAAGTTATTCAAGACACAGACATAGCGATCTTAAGTAAAGGAGCAGTGCTGCACCATTTCACAAGCCTAGCTAGCTTCTTACAGAAAACCGGAGGAAGCAAGGCTTTCAATAAAAATTAAATAATTGTAATTAATTACTGAAAGCCTGAGCCTTGTGCAAATGTAAGCAATAAGAACTTTGAAACAAATAAAAACCCTTAGAATATGGGACCACAGTTAGGATTGCCAGAAAATAATCCAGTCTAGGCCAGAAATATTCCCTTAGGCATAATCCTTGATTCTTACTATTTAGTAAAGCACTGAAGACTGGTATCAGATGACTGTCTTCAGTGTTCACTGTGAGGTTACTTTAGAAGGCAGGGTCTATCCCCTTCAACCTGTTTTATTGTCATTTTCATTAAGTGCTAAGTTAAAAAACCTCTCTTAGAATTTGTCATATATATAATATACATATACCATATAGGTATATATGTGTATTATGTAGGTGTGTGAGTGCATATGACATACAGTACCTTACTTGACAATTGTAGTAAGGATCGTAGTGCTCAAAGTGAGCAAAACAATATAAATATCTCCTCTTCTGTAATTCTGCCTTACAAGGCTTATTTCTGTATGGGTATGTTACACATTAAACCAAGATAGGATGGATTACTTCCTAGAATTCTACCAGA